AGCTAATAAACTCTTTCTTATTAATAGCTTATTTTAACTATTAATCTATTACCTATTTACCTATTATGCCTATACTATCCTGTGGCTTATATAACCGGCCTAACCTGCGACCTACGCTGCAGCTTGTGACTGGGTCGTAACGCCTTTATAATTATTTTAATTTTATATATTAAATATATTAATTGAATTTATTTAATTAGCTTTATATAATTATTATAATTAAAATTAAAACCCCTGTTATTTATTAAATTATTATAAAAAAAAAAAAAAAAGGCTAGCTAATTACCAGGACCTACTAGTGTAACACAGTATAACCAGAGAGCAAGTAGGCGTTAGCGTTAATAGTATAAATAGAGTAAGTTATTGCCGAACCTTTACAAGATAGCTTCGTTGCATACTTCAGAAACAACTTGGTTATTGCTTTCCTTGATAGCTTTAGCAACTCACGTATTACAGATCCTGAAGCTTGTTTGCAGAGTTGAAGGTTGTCCCGCCATAGGCAAGTGAATGTGCTATAAGGACAACATCCGCCGGTTTGGACACGACGCTGTTGTTCATGCCATCGTACCCTAGCGTGATACCACTGCTCGTTTTTGGAGGCTTTAGGGCGTTTGTTTGGGCATTCCACGTCTGGTTGGTCGGTTGGCCCTTGGCTTGGAGAATTTTGTTGCCTAGTTGGAGCAATTTGGACGCCGAGGCAACCGTAAAAGCTCCATTATTGACGCCATTCTGAGATGAAGAGTTAGCAAGCAAAGTTCCCATTATTTGAGGTTCGGTGTGCAATCGTGCGGCAAATCCGTCGGGATCCCGATCACCCCGAGTCCTGGGTCTTCCACGTGGCTATGGCATGGTCATAATGTAAGTGCCGTTTGTGCCAGCGCCGAAAAACAAACCAGCAAGCTGTTCAAGACATGAGCAACGTTATACTCTGTATGTATTATTAGCTTGGCCCTCCAAGAATGTGACAAAGTCGCTAAATCTTTTCATCGGGGTCTGACTTGAGTATCATGGAGTAATGTGGTACATCAAAAATGGACAGTTCCTGCAAGGTTCGAAAGCCAACGCTCTCATAGAGTGATTTTCCCGCCGGCGTGGCGACCAAGTAGCAATCCCGCCCGTCATGTTTTGCCTTTTCTATACCCCAGTTTAACAGAAGTTTGCCAATACCCCTACGCTGATGCCTCGGATCAACAGCAAGATGGTCCAGATCTAAGCATGACAGCAGCGTGGTCAGTATCGATTGATCCATGTGGATTGGAAAGGTAGGATTGCTACGCACGCCACATATTGCTTGTCCCTTGGTCCCCAAAGTGTTTGCGAACATGGTTTACGAGTATTCTTTGCATCTCCTCAAACGCGCCCTCATCCAAGCCGGGCGAGGATACTGCTGAAGGGAGCAACTCGCTATCCGATGCATTTGGTGCGGGAATTTCCCACAGAGCAAACCCGACAATTTGACCTCGCAAATCATCATCGACGGCAACTATCAAATTGATTCTCTTGTCGGTCAACTTGATGGACTTTCGCGCCAGTCTCCATAGCCGCAGCGTGTCTCCCGCTGCACAGTTGGCTGGCTGCAGATGTTGTGGAAACAATCGGCGGCTTATGGTGTCCGTATCTGGGTGAAATGCGTCTGCGGCCAGCGTTGCAATCGCTTCAGCATCGGCGTCTGTCGCGATTCGAAGTTGCACAGTCATTGCGGAAGAGTCGGTTGAAAACAGGAAATAGAGATTGCAAACCAACAGGATTTGACTTGGATCTACCGACACTTTATCACATCAATTAGCTCTCATAGTGGTCCAGACTGACTAATCACGCACGAAACAGACGGCGTCTGGCCGGCAGGTTCAAGTCGACTCACCTGACACCAGGCACCCCGATGAGTCCCCACCAGAGGCTTGGCGGGTCAATGTCAATTCTCTGTGCACATTTGATGCATTGATTGGGAACTAGCACTGAGTAGAGGCGCAAAAGCTGGCTAGTGGGTTGCAGTTGCGGGAACATGAAACAAAACAACTTCAACTCTGCCTGTTTGCCAGCTCACAACTGTTGCCTCTGAAATATTAACTAGAACCCCAAAAACTAAGAGGAAAGGTTTCAAGGAGCAATCCAGCTTAAACTACATCTCAAGTACCCGCAATATACTATTCCCCTGCATCAGCCTTGCAAACTATATCAATGTAGTTTCTACAAGTACTTCCCATACTTCTATCCTACTTTCTGGTGCATCTAGTTCTAACAATATCATGTTCGAGCTCTTGCTTTTGTTCGGAAACTTAAAGTGGCCCGCCCAATTCATCTAGATTGCACGTTAGCTCTGAGCGCTACAAATGAACAGCCAGTGTCTTCGCCCGGCCTCCTCGTATATACTAACAGCGCGGACATTGGACCCGAAGCAAGTCTCATCTATTTTACACCTCGTTTCCCCTTTCTGGTGGGCAATGGCTTGGTTGGTATCTAGGCACATGTTGTGATGGGACTCTTCCTAATTACTTATGAGTAATTTCCAAATGGGAAACAGAGCTATACATACTTATTGTGCCGCTCCGAGATGAATATGGTCATTCGGAAAAGGGTCTGCTCGTAAATTGTGGGGTTTCAGTCCCCTATGTGACAAGACCTCAGTGAGGGCTTGGAGTCGCAGCTCAATTCATTTCATAACAGTCTTTTGTATTGAAGGTTCTCAGAGCCTGGATGGAACAAAAAGCTTTTATTTACATAAGAATTCGGTGAGAGCCTTTGCCCTAGGTCCCGTGATCGTAGCCTTGGCTAACTGTGACACCCGATCTGCTTGTAGTTCTTCTCTCCAATCTACTATACGTCCCAGGGGCATGTCGTAGTGATAATATCGTAATGTCTCGCAAAGTCTTTTATTAAAATGAAGTGGCCAAGAACCCATTTGAAACTCATTTGAAACTCTTGGCCTCGTACAGACATTGAGCGCTGTCATGACATCAAGGCCACACACATCCGTACTGAAAGAAAAGGCTCTTTGAACATCTTGGATATAATCATGTATGCATTTATATGCCGTGACCTACTTCCTCAAGTTGGTATCATTATTAGCCCGTCCGTATATCACGGTGGTTGGTTGGCACTACCTCAGCTGTGGACTGGAAGCCCCAGAAGGGTTAGGGTTCGTCCGCTCATCAACTCGCCTTTATACCGTGAAATAGGAATACCCGAGTCATCAAAACCTGCAGCATCTCCAGATACCCATCATGTCCATCAGATACGAGAGTCTTGGGTACCACCAGCATGCAAAGGTGTGTACTCATACGCCACTATTTCTTTGGGATTCTTGGCAGGGTTGCAAGAGATGCCCGAGGTGGACACACCCAGCAAGCCGAGGATGGAGTGGAAATTGGAGCGTTCCATCACAGGGCTGCCGTCTGGTAGAGTAGCAACGCTAGCACGGCTTATTCCGACAGTAACCCCATTTGGTCCAATAGAAGAGCTTCTTGCACCGCCATGATGATATAGTAGTATTAGACGTCAATGTGTTACTCTACTAAGGTAATTTCGTGATTGCATCCGAGACAAATGCGTTTGGATATTATATCATCACACAGTCATGCCATCCTGCCTACCAAACTGTTGTTTATATTCTGTGAGCCATGGTAATCAGCCTCCAACACGATGTGTCATGAAATAGGAGCAACCAAGTAGTAGAATGGTGTTTCGTAACCATCAAAGGCGTCATTACCACTCTACTATGATACCCTTCGACACGACTCCGCTGAATCATGGAATCATGCTGTTGAAAACACTTCGAGTAACTGTGCAACAATGTCAAGTGGTGCACCCACGCGGCGTCCCATGCTTTTTTTCAACAACCTCAAATCAGGCTTGGTACATGACCAGTAGCTTAGCCATCCCGACAGTGAACATGTCTTTCTCTTGTCGCTTCATCACAACGTTTGAAGTGACGAGGCCTCAGCCACCTCTTGCTATGGCAGCTTCCTCCGACGATATACCATCCGGCTCAATGGGTTACGTCCTCAGTCCAGTCCCCCGCCTCCACAAAGTCAGCTGAAGCCATGACTTTGGACACGGAAACCGGGCAACCACGCATCCCTGGCCATGATCAACGTGGCCCCCATAAGCTGGTTGACTTGCGCAAGAATCTCACGTAATTCGGAACCTCTCCCAGATGGTTCTTTGACCAATATTGGCCGCGATTTGTGGCAATGCTGACAATGCTGGCAAATCAAAATACGAGACAAAAAAACAGAAGGGCCCGGCCTGATTAAGCTCGGGCGATGCCTGCATTGTTACGTCGCAGGGAGGAGGGCGCATATGATCAACCACGAGCGTATCCGCCCCCAAAGGTCTAGTACCTAGGTATGTCGTGCATCGCAAACCGCCCAGTGGAGGCGGTGTCTCAGACAAATAGACTTTAAGGAAAACGCCTCTTGTTCTCCGCAATATCGCAAATTGTCCGTCTTGTGACAGAAATAGAGACACGTCTGCTCAGCCCGCCGCCACTTTTATGCGAATGCCGCTCGTATAACGCCTATGGCTTCGTCGACAGCGAGTCACACGCCAACAATCTTGACACCAATACGCCAGAAAAGGCCCGATCCAATCACGAATGGCAGTCGCCTGCAGGCAAATGTCAGCGCACTGTGAGGCACTAAACGGGTCTGGATCATACCGAGACATCAGCGCCTTTCCGTCGCTCAGCCACCTGCTGCTGTCGGGCACCAGCTCCATTGGAATGTTTGAAGATGGCTTCGCGGCGGAGCTATATGCGGACGCAAACGTCTGGCAGTTCCATATCCCAACGCAGCGAGTGCCTGACGCCACGCTTCGAAATACGAGCCGAACACGCCAACTTGGACGGAACAGGGCTTGACTGAAGTCGTTCTCAAGAGACGCATCGATCTCATCCATGTATAAAGCAAGGCGTACAAAAACTATATAAACTACAGCTCCTCCCGAGTGTTTACTATTCTGCTCTCATCCTCATCAGCAATCTCATCTACAACACCTTTGCAGAAACACCATCAACTTCCATCATTCTTCCAACTTTATTTCATCGCAAACGCTCTCCAATTCATCATCATGAAGTTCATCATTGCCTCCGTTGCTGCTCTGGCTTCCGTCGCAGTCGCTGCACCACCCGCTCGGGAGTGCACGCCGGTCGCCTATCGATGCCATCCTGGCGCGGAAGCTTGGGATGTTTGCAATACCAGCGGCCAGTGGGTGGTAAGTATCTTGTTCGTTTCTGACTTGACCAGGTTGGTAATATTAATCGTCTTAGTTTGCCGGTAACTGCCCACCACAAACCGTCTGCAAGTTCCTCCAGGCCAACGGCAGCCCCTACTGCGTCCCCCCCAACTTCACGATCCCTTAAGCATAGCTTATTGAGCGAGAGGGGTGGTTCAATTTTCACCCGACTGCCATCCGTCAAGATTGGTTGCATACTCAAGCATACATTTGGCAGTTTGTCGTCTTCAGCTAGATTCAGTCAGCTTTAGTAGCTATAGACATCTTAAATTGATACTACCAAGTTTTTAAATTATACCTTACCAAAGCACCACCAAACGGGACTTTCTTGGCATAAATGACCGAAAAAGGCACTAGTTGCGATGAAGTGTCGATTCATAGAAAGAATTGCCAGCTGAATATCTACCCGAAATATGAGTTGCTATAAGCTGGCAATAAGCATCGTCTAAGCATAGGTTTTGCGGCTAGCAGCGTCTAGGTTCGACTTCCTCATAATGCGTGGGCCTCTAAAAGGCAAAGGAAGGTCTACAACCCCGGTATTACACCAAGAGTAACCAGGGCACGAATAATACCCGAAGCCATCTTGTATATGGTATTATAATTATTGTTATTCGACCTTTGAGAGGTGTTGCTACCATAACTAATTTAGTTGCAAGCACATTAGCCAGCGGTATTGCCACATTCCTGGCACAGTGCTGAGTGCCAGCGATAGCAAACTTTCTCTCAACTCCATCTCAGAGTTGCTCCAAGGAATAATTTCTTGCCTCTTGCCAATTAGTGAAGAGGACTCGAAACTACTATTACTAGCGGTCCCATTACTATAGGGGAATTGCACCAGACGCTATGTCGTCGGGTTTAGGTTTTGGATTAGAACGTGCGGTGTGGAGCTCAAAGGCTAAAAACGAGGCGTAGTAGGTCATACAATAGAAGCCATTCCAAACTTTGTGCAGCTCCGCAAGGCCGAAGAAGGACATGAAACTACCGTAGGCCCCGAATTGGATCTCAAATTTCGCACTACCGGGCTTGACACCAACGACATGTTGCGAGAAATTCAGAGGCTACCCGGCATGCACATATTCGTTATAACTCAAACGGAATAAGTTGCTTCATAGGACAAGTTCTACTCATGGGTTGAAGCAAGGCTATAAAGTCAACTGAGGGTCTCTTCTGTCAGGAGCTCATGAGCAGGGATAGAGGAGTTGTGAATACGGCCGACGTTACTCATGTCAAAAACTGGATGTGAGTCAATACATGACATTTGGGAACTATGGTGAGAAAAACGACAGTCCCATCTCCGTTGTTGAAATTAGCGGAGCTAGGACTGTGAGAACCATTTACGACAGGTAATAAGCTCTGATAAAGTGACTTGTCATTCTTGAAGGCTGGTTGAAACTCTGGCGAAATGAAGTAGTTGTTTGAGCCAGCATGACTTACATATCACCAGGAAATATTCTCAGCATCCGGCGCTGGGGTAAAGCATCAAAGGCATACTTTCTTTTCTTCTCGTCAGACTGCCATCTGGTTTTATGATGCTGTTGTTCTTCCTGGAACTCAAGGTTGTTCGACTTATCCTTGACTTTTCTTAGTGTTTTAGCAGCGTCTTCTCTTCGTGTTGCTCGTCACCATCGTGCGTAAATGAGCAGCGCCAGACTACTTTAGGGTTCACCACGAAAAATAAGGGCCAATGGGAAAGCATGAACCCGGAGGCTGCTAATAAATAAGCTTACATCAATCCAATATTCTCCCAGACGTGCAGACATTATCAGTCCATCCTGCTCGCCAGACTAGATGCGGTGGGCAGATTTCAGCTTCCAAGCCGAGCGCGGTTCCACATCAGCTCTGCATTTATTTCAAAATTTCAGCGCCAGTCTTCGTAGTCGTTGACAATGGCTATCTGCAGGGTCAACGGATCATATCATACAAAATAATAGTTCCCCAGGGCCTCACCTATTCGCCTCGCCCCTCTCATCCCCTAGTGCCCTCTTCTAGTCGACACGGAATCCGGCTATTATCTAGTCCAGCCCAGGTACGTCGTACCGAGTCCGTGGCCGGACCGAGGCCCAATGCCGACCCGCCCGACGGCGACCGGATTGTCTTGTTCACCAAGGCTTCGATGTTGGCGGTGGGCAGGGTTAGAAATGGAAATCACACTATTCGTCCACGACATCGAATCGACACCAAGCGGTAGCTTATTATCCCTGTTTCCCCCACTTCCAAGGCTACCCATCTGTGCATCAGGCTTCGATAGACCAGGGCCACCATGTTTGGTGGTGGAGACTTGCAAGGCCGCTTTCCAAATATGACGGCAGTATTCAGCCAATGAGAAGGTTAAATATGCAGATCTGTCTCGTCAGAGGGCCATAACATCGAAGAAATAAAAGCGGCATGATTGCGACGCAGGCATTTCGTAGTAGTAACTCCAAAAGCAGCATGAAGCCCAGTGGGAGTTGGCATTTCGCCGTAGCTTCTTGATACACCGTCCAATTCATATGAACAGCTTTTATAATGGACAAACCCCGCCGCTTGGCCATCTTCTGCCATGGGACGCCATTTCCAATAAAGTCGGGGCATTAATTGGACGCGTTTTTATGAGCAACTGATGAATTTAAACTCCAATACGCGTTTCTCTACTGAACAGCTCCAGATGATCTTCATGGCCTCAAATCAAGACTAGACAGTTGATCTTTGAACCATTGTCTCAATATTGCATCCTAATAGCATAGTCACTGGTTCGGCACAGCCTTGAGTCCATTTTACCCCGTATTCATCTCAAAGGGAAACCACAGGGAGAAGAACCCTACCATACGGATCATGAATATGAATGAGCCTGGTAATATCACAAATTGATTGAGAGTACTGCCTGCTCAACAGGTCCTACCAAGAGATACATGGTACCTTTTTGGGGGCCTGTCCTCCTGTCCTGAACTCATCCAGCCCTCCCAAGCACCCAGTTGCACAAAACCTACTCCAGTCTCGTTCATTTTGCAAGCCCATCGGCGAGACATTTCTTCAATCCGGGGTCCACTCTTCCAAAATAATCTGCAAGTAACAGCATTAGACAAAGTTTACGTGACACGACTGGTTGGTAGTTTTGACTGACCCAAGACTTCCTTCTTTAGGTTGTTTGGAATATCTCGCAGCGTAGGAATGATGTTATGCAGGAGTTGTTCTTTTCCATTTGGCTCCTTGCAAATAATCTCCCACAGTTTGCGAGGCTGCTCAAAATCCTTGTCAGTGAGCGAGGTGGCAAAGCACGTCACATTCCCCGTCCACATTTCATGAACTGGCAGCTGAATTCTGTTGCTCTGAGACACGGGGCGAAGCTCTGAGTAGACGTAATCGGGATCACCTCCGTAATTTCCATTCATGGTTCCGGGTCCATCTCGTATATATGGAGCGTACACCTTGTTCACTGGCCGGTTCGGCGGAAGTTGAAAGTAGTTTGGTCCTACGCGATAGCGGTGCGCGTCCGGGTAGCTAAACATTCTTGCTTGCAGAACTGAATCGACATTTCAATTAGATTTGCCACTTCCCGATAAGAGTTTTGCTGCAAGTACTGACCTGGATCCGCGGAAGGTCCGATACCGGGCACCATGTTTGACGGCGAGAAACAAGCCTGCTCAATGTCTTGAAAATAATTGTTCGGCTGCATGTACTCGTTAGTGCACGGCTACAATGTACCATAGGCATCATTCAACGCACATTCTTGTTGAGGGTCAAACGACCGACACGACGCAATGGGTAACTTTCATAAGGCCAGGTATAGGTGCAATCAAAGATGTCAATCGGTGCCGACTTCACCTCGTCGGGCTTGATAACCTGCACGTATACCGTCCAGGTCGGGAAATTTCCACCCTCGATGGCATTAAAAAGATCTTTGACGTGATAATCAGGCTCTGATCCTGCCAGCCGGGCTGCGGTGTCTGCATCCATGGTCCTGATGCCGTCGTCGGGTTTGAAATGCCACTTGACGTAGACATAGCTTCCATCCTAGCACTTATCAGTCGTTGCGATAAATGATGCCATATTCACGGTAGCTCACAGCTTTGTTTAGCGTGTAGGTATGGACACTGAAACCATTGATGTTTCTCAGCGAAGCCGGAATACCGCGCTGCCCAAATAGGTGCATGAGAGCGTGGATTCCCTCGGGGTTATTCTTGTGAAAGTCCCAAAACATGGTGTTATCCGGTACATTTGTCTGAGGATGTCTCTTGTGGCTCCGATTCATGGAGGGGAATTTAATGGGATCCCGGATGAAGAAGACGGGCAGATCGTTGAATACAAAGTCTTGCACGCCCTCCTCGGTATAAAACTTTGTGGCCCAGCCCCGAACATCGCGAACGGTGTCACTAGATCCTTTTTCTCCACCAACGGTCGAGATGCGGGTCAAGATTGGAGTCTTCTTGCCAACTCCGGTGAGGAACTTGGCATCGGTCAAATCAGATACATCCTCGAGAACTTCGAATTCGCCAAAGGCGCCGGCGGCTTTTGCATGAACACTCCTATTCCAATCATGAGTCCGAGAGAGTCTGGTATGCTTGACGTGGTGAAGAGGTCCCCTTACCGTTCTGGAATGCGCTCCCGTGCAAAATGAGCAAGGACTTCAATGGTTTGGGTATCAGCCAAGGTGACTAGGCCGCCATTGCTGTTACCGTAGCGAATCTGGTGGACAGACCCCGGGTTTGGGCTCGGTTGACCTGTGATGATTGGTGTCAGTCTTGCATCCCGAGACACAGAAGGCAAGGAGCCCAATGAATGGCTTACCATTAGCCAGTGTGCATACAGGATTAAAGGCAGACTATAGTTTGTTAGCGAATAGTTCACTTCACCAGATGGCCTCGAGGGTGTGAGCTGACCATGATGGCTGTGGATATACACAAAATCTCTGCAGAGAGAATCAAGAAGAGATGGGAGCCTCATATTGTTGCTTTTATATCCATCAAAAACCGGGAAGCTGTCAATGCGTGGCTGCCGGCTCCTAGGCTTAGCCCCAATGCAGCAGAGCCGTGGTGGTCATGATGTCCAGTTAAAACCTTAACGATGGTAGTGCCCACCCTCCCGATACATCCGACCAGCCCTTTTGTGAAGCCAGATGCATTAGTCTGTACGGATAGCAGGTTTGCCAAT